CCCCCCCCCCCCCACCTCACCCCAGCATGTGGCTTTGACAGAGTCGTCTACACGCCCCATGAACATGGTCGCAAGGCTGGGCAGTGCCGCGAACGGCATCGGCGCAAGCCACTCGGAACGCCGGCATGCACATGAATCCGCTCACGTAGACGTACTTCAAACATTTACCTAATCCTTCGCTGCAAAAAATCGCGATGAACTTTGGCAAATGCAACTCAACAAGATAGTGCCTGCACTCGGTCCCGTGCTTACCATCGAGCTTGGCCTTGCCCAATTCTTCCTCTTCCCGTACATCCACGAACTGGTACTTGCTATTGACGTCCCCGGCCCCGCTCTTCGCAAGCTCCAAGATCTCCCCGAGCTCCTCTACAGCCATCTGTCGCGGCAGGATAGCCCTCGAGAGCAAGGCCACCTGATGGCCCCAGACGAGTGAACGATCGAACACAGAATCTCGGCAGATTCAGCTGCGGCCCAAGAAATGATGCCAACGAGTGGGGCCACCCTTGGGTTTTGTGCACGCCCAAATGGCACACGGCAACACCGTGCGCGCCACCGCTTGAGAATGTGGGAGTTAAGGTATGCAGTTTCCTCAAAAAGAGATGTGTTCCAGTGGTTGGCCGTAAGGACAGGTGCTCAACTAAAAGTCCCACACTAAATCCATCTTCATGGTCGTTGTTAGGGTACCCCCAAGATGAAAGAAGCGAGCCTCGTGGAAACCAAGCGGTTCTTTGAGTGGTGGCTATCTAGCAACGACAACGACGAAGACGACGACGACAACTGACGAGCCCCGCGCGCTTCCTCACCACATTCTTGGAGTGGTCCCTCTCCAACAACAACAACGACGACGACGACGCGATGACGACGACTACAACCGACGAACACCGCTCGCTCCCTCACCACATGCCACCCGAACTGGGTCTGAACCTTGACGATCGTCCCCGGGTCGTTCTCGAAACACGCCGCCTCGAACTCCGCTACCATCTGCCCCTTCTTGAACCACCCCAGGTCCCCGCCCTTGTCCTTCGAGGGACAGGAGCTCATGTCCGCGGCCACGTCTCCGAACTGCTCGCCGGACTTGATCCGCGTCAAGGCGGCCTCGGCGGCATCCTCGTCGGCGCACAGCACGTGCGCCGCCCTAGGTCGACGGGTTGTGGAGTAGGTAAGCCAAGACAGACAGTCCGGTGTAGGTTGGACAGGCAGGGTTATGAGGCACGTGCGCGGGCGGGCCGCGTGATGTCGTCACCGGAGGGGGGTTGGGAATAAAACTGTGCGGTGAGCTACGTTATTGTAGAGTGGGTGCGGAATTTCAAGAGATGACCGAAAGTTGAACAGAAAGAACCACCACCACCACCAACAACAGTAGTAGAAAGGAAAGCGTGAGAGCACATATACACACCGAAGGGTGCACGCGCCGGCTGTAGCGCACCTACATAACGGGCGATATTGGAGACTATACTGCTGTATGCCTTCCGTGCTGGAGGGCAGTTATATATGACACTCCCCACCTGCAGATCTCTTCCCCGGTGACGGCGTCGGTGGCCGAGGACATCATCAGGGGGCGGCCTGTACACGGTCGCGGCTGCTGCGGCAACCCAAGGCTCGCTCCCGCTGCTGGCATGGCGTGAATCCATCGTCTGTTGCTGCCGGCGAGGCTGTGGTTTTTCCATTGCGGAGGCCAGGGAGAGGAAGGACACGGTTCCTTTGTGCCATGGTTGTTGTTGGTGCATAGTAGTGGGAGCGCACCTCCTTCTTTGTGTTCTACAATGTCGGGAGGGAAGCATAGCATGTCACCACCCTTTGTGGGCTAAGAGCTCCAACCACATTATCAACTGGAGTGGTGGGCGCTGCGGAAAGGGTGACTGGCCTGGCGCTCTTGTGCAGAAACCGCTCTTTGAACGTCGGTCCAGAGGGTGGGCGTACTACTGTACATTCTCATACGACAACACGTTTCATGTTCCACGTACATATCAGAACAGATTCATCAAGCAAGCGGCATAATACAGCCAAAGGCCTCAGGACACGTACAGCTACATGAGAGTTGACAGGAGTCCCGACGATGACCTGCCCGCGCGTACAGCATGACGCAGTCCCCCGGGAGGGAGAATCTGCCTGCAGCAGGTCATGGTTTGACAAACACGCCTGGGAACTGGGCCCAATCGTTCGGTGGGATTTCCCTGAGTGTATAGAGGGCGAAGTTACATAAGCAGGTGTAGCCCCAAGGCTTGGGTGCGTTATCCTAGGCACACCCGCAGTACGCGGGCGTCAACGACACGGCCGTTTAACATGTCATGTTCTTATGTTGAACAACGGCGACACGTGTTCCATCAGACCTCTCGTTCCGTCGCCTGTGGGGAAACAGACAGCAGGCAGCCCTTCATTCCAACCTGCCACTTCCAATGAACACTGCAACGTTGTACAACACTACCGACGGTGCACCCGCATCTAGCCTGCAGATGTACACACCGCAGCAGGACTGCTGTTTTGAGCATACCTGTTGCAGGGCTGAGCTCGCATCGGCAATGCGGTGCTGCCGACCAGCACACCGCCACGAGGAGCCGCAACGAACGCGCTAGCGAAGCGCCTTCCGACGATCAAGGCCACGGCGGCCTGTTGGCGAGAGAGGGAGCAGCTGAAGCGCATGTTTATAGTCGTAGCGGGTGAAGTTTGTCGTGGTGTGCGGCGAGGGTGCAACAGGCACAGATAGGCGGGCAGTTCAGGAGTGCGGGGCAAAAGAGGGGTTCCGATCAAATAGTGGGTATGCCTTTCAATTGGCGTCACCCCCCGGAAAGGTCGTGTTGTGCAGTGGTTGTTCAAGTGTAGCAATATCACAGGGTCGCCCAGAGGATGGCTCCCACCTCCGCAGGAAGCGTTGGGGATGGAGCCAGCCGCGATGTCGACGAGATCGGACAGTGGGAGGACTATACGTGCCAAGGGCAGTTCGAAGACCTTGTCAGGTCCTTCGAGACGGTGCTGCGGGAATGGAGAATTTCCGACAGAGGTGTGTGTTCACGCGTGCGGGGAATCTAATATGCTGCTCTGCCTGCTGCAGCTGCTTTCGCGGTCGGCCAGCAGGCACAGTCGACACCACCGCCGCTATCCGCTAGCCGTAGACGACCACCGCCATATAAATGTCTGTGTTTTGATCATTTCTTTCTTCGGTGGACTCAGTTTCCGCTTGGTGCCAAAGTTCAACAATGAACAGGCTCGAGTGTCCCACCTCCTCTCGGGTGTCGTGACCACGCTGGTAGTCTACGCATACGAGTTACCGAACGCACGTTACCGCCGACCTCGCCATTGCCTTGGCCACCTGGGGTATGATCTCCGTGTCACATTAGCACGCGGTGGACTTCTAGCTCGGCAGTTGTGTCCACTCTGCTATGACAGTGGCAGTTGTTCCAGGGGAATTGTCTCGCAGGTGTCGACGACAGCAGCAGTACAGCAGTACATGCCATGTCCCGCTCTCTTGGAGGTTCATCTTCTCGGTCATCATAAAGGACTTCAGTAGAAGTAATGCCCCCGCCGTTTCCCTCTGTTACATAATGTGCGTGAGCCAAGTATTGAAAACGATCCTCCTATCCATAGCACTGAACATAAACCAGTAGAGGATCCAAAACGCAAGCTGTCCTACTCCTCAGAAATATATGCAGAACAAAGTAACCGAGACAGCAGTCGGTGCCCAACAGGTGTTGCAGACTTTAGTCTACAGTTTGAGTGTTAAGTGACACTGCAGCTTGGTCCTTCCAGCAGCGAATAAACAAACGCATGCTTGCTGCCGTCATATTTTGCTCTCTGTCGCGCACTACTATTGTCGGGGACGGACTATCCGGCGACTTGGCGGCGGACCAACGCCGCTCCCGTTCTTTTTCCCTCGCGTGTTCCGGAATGTGTCCCGTGCTGAGAAGACCACGCACTGCTGTCGAACGAAGCTGTTGCTGCTGCTGCTGAGGGCACCGTGTTGTCGTTGACGGATTCCTCCGGTGCATCGACGTCGCCCCCGGCCGTCTCCTACTCGCGGTGCCTGGAGCACGATGGTCAGCTCTTCAGCATCCAGCTGGTGCCCCCCCCAGATCAGCTCACTGTTACGGCTGCCGCTGAGGCTCCGCGGACAACAACAGTAGCAGCACCTCCAACAGCAACAGCAACCACGGCAGAAACGCATCCAAAAACAACAGCGGCGCCGAATCGAACGGCGTCCGCGGCCTGTCAGCTAGAGGACCGCCGCCTAGACTTCGCGGTGGGGGGGGGTAAGACCACCAACACACCCCTGCACCGCTGGTTCGGGCTCAAGCAGTACGTCCTGGTTCGCGCCTTGGGCCAGGGCGGGTCTCCCGGCATGGGAGTCGATCACCTACTTTGGGCCACGACGGTGGCTGCCGGAAACTGCAAGTGCTCCGTCCCGGTGCTGGTGTCTTGCGACTGGGACGGCCTGGTTGACGACGACAGCTCTGGCGGCGTTGTTGTGCAAAGCGGTGCCAGCTGCAAAGGATACTCCACGCCTGGCAGCACGGGTATTGCGTGCTCCGTCAGGTTTCATACAGCATGGACGGAGAAGGTATGGGGTTCGCTTTTTGGCGGGGGGGGGGGTCTTGTGAATGTGAATGCGGACGGTGCTTTGAAAAGCGCTGCTTTTGGAACGTGCCGGAAGAGTCTGAGCCAACGGTTGGCTCTGCAACTCGGCCATGCCCGTCACAACAAACAAATTGATCATTGCCACTTGTGTGCACCTAAAACCGAACTATGATTCTGGCACAGCCGCGTTGTACGTGTGACAACGTTACGAGCCACAACGACACTACCACCGTTAGAGCGGTCCTTTCGACGTTTTCTCGGCTATGCATACGATCATGTTTTCGCACTATTCCTTCTGCCCGACCACTTCTTGAACCGTGCCGACCCCGCACGGTTGATAGGCTCCGACCCTCTCCCCTCCCCCCTCCCGCCCCTCCGCCCCGACCAATCCCTGCCGCTGTTCTTATCTTCGATTCCGCGGCAGCCTTCCCGCGAGTGCCTGTTCCTAGACGGACTAACGGACCTGTTCCTGTCCAAGATCAGAGACGCGCACTGCCTGCCAGGCCGTGCCTTTGCTCCTATAGTCTCGACCACCGTCCAGCAGTCGTGGGAATGGACCAAGCCCGAGGAAGACGCGGCGCAATTGCCTGCCCCCGCTCTCCCCTGGGAGGGGGGAGGGGACACCGGTGGAGGCGGCGGAGGGGAATTCGTTCCGGCGTCGGCGGTGGTGGAAGAGAGAGACGGGCGACGGGGGGGCACAAGTTTGGGCGAGTTTCCGGGGGGGGGAGATCCGCAGGGACCGACAACACCAGCAGCAGCGGCAGCAGCAGCGGGGGATAGCGGTGGTGTTGCGGCTAGGGAAGATGCCGTCAGGCAGCTCCTTCGTGCGGTCGGAGGCGGAAGCGGACAGGAAAGCAGGACACCCGTGTGGGGACCGGACGAGGTACTGTACTGTACGAGGACGTTTGAAGAGCTCTCTGTTGTTTGTCCGGAACATCTGCAGAAGCAGGGTTACCGTCATCGAACTGGGACGACTTTTGCCGCATCTTCATTGAAAGTCTCACGTGCCCCCGCCCCCGCCCCCGCTCCCGCCCTGTGGTCGCTGACACCCGTTCTTCTTCTACGCAGGACCCGCTCGTATCGATCTTCGTGAGAGTAAGATGGACAGATCTGAGGGAGGGCCTAGTAGAAGAGAGCCAGCACTACACCACGCTGGAGCCGTTGCCCGAGGAGGCACGAGGAGGGGCGGGAGGAGCCGATGGCAGCTACAGCGGCGCGGGCGTGGGGGGGCATTGGTTCGTTAGCCCAAGGCGAGGCGTTTTTCGGTTGAAGCACCGCTCTTTGAAATTGTGTTTTGCCGACAAGATACGAGACACGAAAGCCCGACCTCAACGAAGATTTGGTTTGAAGTACAAAGGCGCTTCGCGGTCGCCGCTACGCTCGTAGGTTGAATGGCGATGGCAAGGGTGTGCGTGTGGAGTTTTGAAATGAGAGATGCGAAAAAGAAATGCTGCAAAGAGGAAAAATGCTGTTTGTGTATTCTAAGAGCAGAGACTCACAATGAATAAATTCACATGTTATGCGACGGCCGGAGGACAGAGAGTATTCAATTACTCGGAGTAAGAAATTTGTTTTTCAGAAACAAAGGCTCACCGCCCACGACAAAAATAGGGAAATAGGGTGTAGTAAAATATAGCAGCTCAACCTGGGCCACACAATAGATTAACCGTCTCAATAAGAAAAACAGGGGAGCGACCCCTAAATGCTCTTCTGCTACTCGTAAGACACGAGGGGCTACCGTGGGGAGAGGAGTGAGAGTGTGTCGAATAATATGCGCATGAAACTAAGAATGATACACCACAAACACCCAGCTTTTTTCTTCTCCTCTCTCCCCCCACTCCCATGTGCTACCCACCCCCTGAGCGAGACATTGTAGCTTCTAGGTAGGGTGTGTGGTCTTGGTATGTGACCTAATGTATCCTAGTTGAGTACGAAAGGCGTACGTACGGTAGTGTAAGCAAAAGCCGAGAAAGTCGACAACTTTTGCCGAGTAATGACAATATGGCAACCCACAGCAGCAGCAGTATTGCTATATCTTCTGCCAGACGGTTTTGGGAGTCAGATGACTGTATGCACAGAATTTCGTGTGTTGGTGTGTGTTGCTGTAGCCGGTCTACAAATAACTGCTGCTGTAGTCCGGTATCTAGATAGCTGCCAGAAGACATTATTTTCGCAATAAGAAAAAGTGCTTCCATGAAACGGAGGAACAAATGACGTATGTCATGTATGTTTTTTCGTCATCTCGGGCGGGTGTAGTTTTGCAGACAGCTGTGCGCATGACACCGGCCGCTAGCCCCCCCGCTTTTCGCCGTGATCGAAAGGGAGGCGCGCCACAGCAGTAGAGTACTTTGTCGCGGGTCATGCGGAGGCTTGGTGGTTTGGTTGTCGAGTGTGGTAATAAGCGTGTGTAGCGTGTAGCCAGCGCACATGGACCATGTCAGCCGCTTGCCGAATGTGTAAATGGCCTGCACCGTGAAGAAATCGTGGCGTGATTGGTGGACCCATAGCAGATGTCGGAGACGCGACTTTGTGCCCTCGCTAGCGCTGCACGCAATCCGCCCCCGAGAGGGCGCGGGGCACGCCGGGAGGGCCCTCGCAACACAGGGCTATCGGTAGGCGCAAGTCTCGCTGCAAGGCGAGGACTACGGGCGGAGAAACCGCAAAAAAAGGTCTCTAGGCTCACGAGAGCGCGGCTTTGTAGGAAGTCCGTATATAGGTATATTTTTCGCGTTTGTCGGTGTCAGGTGGTAGATGCTGTCGTTGGGAAGCTTCCACAGCTGAACAGGACGGGGTTTAGGCATGTGTGAGCGCCGCTCCATACTTTTTGTGGTGACGGAGGCGGGTGTCAAACGCGCAAGAGTGTGCTGTGTTCTTTCTTGTGGGGGGAGACGGCATGGGCGCGAGGTCGTTCCAGATGCGCTTTGCGCAGTCGTCATGCACTGCTTCAACGTGTGCACGCGTTTTCGTCCCCGTAGTCTGGGCGCCAGTCTGCACTATTCCTTTCGGTACGTGTTTGACGCACGAGCCAGGGTCACACAGGAGGAGTGTATACACTGGGTTTTTCAAGAGTGTAATTGTTTCAGCGCTGCGCAGAAAGAGGGTTTCGCCTTTAAACTCTACTTCTTGGGGTCGCCTGTGTGCGACGCCGCCATTAAGTGTTCTCTCGTTTTCTGATCCCCGGCGGCCAGGTGGAAGCAACAAGGCCAACCAACAACAGACGCTAGCAGCAGCAGTGACAACGACGGTGACGGCGGCTCCACGCAACGGCAGCAGCAGCAGCAGCAGCAGCAGCAGCAGCAGCAGCACAGGGGTCGTCTTGGGGACGCCTGCAGCCGCTTGCTGGCGGCCTTGGTGCTAACGACCGCCATGCACCCGGGCACACTGATGGCCGATCTTGGGGCCGGTTCACTCGAAGACGGCCGGACGGTAAGACATTTCGCATGCCCCTGTATGATGTCGGTGCGTGTAAAGTATGATTCCCGGTTGCATGAACGGCAAGGCATCTCGCATTTCCCTGCAGATTGGCGGGCGGGTGCCGGGTATGATTCGCGGTAGTTGTTGTTGTTTGTTTCTCACATTAGCTCTATAGTCCACAATAAATGGGGAGCCCGTGGTCTCAAAACCCGGCACATACGACGCCCCGGGGACAAAAAACAAAAATAGGGTACAACCCACTCGGAAAAAGAAAACAAAATCATAAAAAAGAAAATAACAGGTACCGCACCGACCGTTCGAGAAAGGAGCCCCCGGAAACCGGTCAAAATAAAACAAAAACAAAAAGGAAGGAGGACGCTTCCCACACTCGCCGAAAGAAACAATCAAAGGGTTACGTACCAACACCAGGCACTACGCACCAGGGTATGGGAATAACGGAGCAAACAGGACAAATAGGCGGCAGATGGGCAGACAGCCACATGTACAAAAACAAAGGCAACAGCAAAAGCGAGATCAAGGTGCCCAACACAGCAGAGTAGGCAGGGAGGACATGAAAAAAAAGAATCACAGCACAGAGGCCGAAGGCAATACAAAAGACACACATAAAGGAGTATAGCATACAGCAGGGAAGGAAACAGGGCGCAACAACATCAGCCGGGTACATAGTTCGCCACAAGTGCTGCCTCGGCCGCCCTACTCGCTTCTATCAGTGCCCGGTCGCCGTTTCTTCCCCCCCACCGCCGCTTCCCCGACTCTCTTTCTCTTCGGTCCTGAGATGGCCGTACTCTCTGCTTCTGCTTCCCTCGCGCGCTGGCGCTTCGCGGACGCTTCCGCCTCCTGCCTGTGCCATTTCCTCATGAGCCATGCCGCCCCGTCCTCGACCTTGTTGTACCACACCTCCGGGTCCTTGGCGCTCTCTTTCCATTTCCCCCCTTCCTTTTCGTCTCCCATGTTGAAGGCCACGAGGTCCTCTCTAGACGAGACACCCAGTCGCTCTCCTGCCCGCCCCGGTATCCCACGCCCCCCGCCATCGCTCCTAACAGCATGCGCTTGGGGAGGCGGCTGTCCTCCATGCGCATAACAAAGCCCGCGAAACAAAGTCTCCGTTTGCGCACGGTGGCCTCGATGGTTTCCTCGCAGCCTGCCTTGATGAGGGCCTGGGCATAGGACAGGGGGCGGTCTGAGCGTTTCCGCTTACTCCAGCCGATGCACCGTGTAAGGAACTGGCGGTGGATCCCATTGAGCTTCGTGTAGTGCTCCGCTGTTAGGCTCCACGAGGCGCGCCCATATAGGAGAGTCTCCACCACTTCAGCCTGGAGTAGCCGGATCTTGAGCTGGCGGTCGGCCGTCGCCTGTCGTACATCGAGGCACTGTTCCGGCGGTAGCGCTTCCACGCCCGGCAGCTGCGGCTCGTGATCTCCCGGTCGGCCTTCCCGTCCGCGGAGATGGTACG